CCCTGCACAAATGGGGACAGTTGTCTTCTCTCTTGCTTATCCTCTCTTATTCGTGCTACGCCCTTCTTTGGGAACTCTGCTTACATGGGATAACTGGTGATTTTTACAAAATGAAGTTGTAAAACAGTAGGGGAGAGGAAAAGAGATCTTTGTTACTCGAGTCTGACAGTTCAGGCAAACACTACACAATTAAAATATGAAGAAGCTTCTAACTGTGAGTCCTGAAGCTGATGGTCTGTTGTTAGAGCCAGGCTCTGTAGTTCCAGATTCCATCTCTGAGAGTTGATGATTTCCTTTACTTCACCAGGGCCGGGGGCTCCCCAGGGAGGCTGGGGGCAGTGGGCAGTGGCTGTGGCCCTGCTCACAGCGTGCCCTGCTGTGCCCTTGGCCGGTTTTCACTGCAAACACCAGTGCTGACTTACCAAATTCACAACTATCGTGGGTGGCAGAATTCTCCTTAGCTTGGTTTGCTTGGGGTATGTTGTCTAGGGATGAAGACCACGATTTCTGTCTCTTGGGATCAGGCCCATAACCAATACAAAAGCGTCCCAAGCTGTAGTCATTCCACACACGCTGGCTGCGTGGGTGAGCCCCCGAGTTATTGTATGCCTTGGTAAATGGAGGTTTGGATTGCTGCTGCTTGTTTGCTGATTGATTGGAAGAGTTGGCAAATACCTTTGCTTATGAGCAGCGATTTATCCTGTGATGAACAGGTTGTACTTCCCGGTAGCTCAGTCCCCTGGAGACAAATACTGCGCATGGAAATAGGTAATTTGTTGCCTGACACCAAAGATTTTGGCTGCAGTGTCTTACGCTTTCTCTTTCTGCAAGTGGAATAATTCTCACTCTTCTGAAACTTGCGCTTTGTAACGTACCAAATTTCAGTTCAGCCAGCTGTGCGGTGCTTGGAGTGTAGAAACGGCAGAGGAGGTAACGCACTCCTTGGAATACGGAAGGAAATTCCTGTCTGTCAGTACTTTCTCATACCAGGGATTGCATGTTTGAGTAGAGCTTTCACGGGGGACACACGGAAGTACTTTTGGATTTGATTCATTACCCAGAAAATACTTTTTCTGATGTTTCCCACAACAAATTCTTAAACAACAGAGGAGCCACTTGTAGACTTGAAAGCCCTTTAAAGTGCTGAGTGTTGAGCTTCAGGTCTTTGTCAGCGCAAAAAGAGAGGCGGAGGTGCTTTAATTTTGGTTTCTGTATTGTGTGTGTGTCATGATAAAATTATATTTTAAGATCTGCTAAATTCTGAAGCTGTGGTACAATGGAAACATGTTTGCCCTAAACATGTTCAGTTACTTTCATCTCTTTACGAAACCCTATTAGTAGAAGTGTTTGTGTATATTTGGAAAGCAAGCAAAATTACTTGTTTATATTTGTGTGTGATAATCATCTCGAATGTTTTGTAATCTTAAATGTGCTGTGTGAGAGTATGGGAATCAAAGAAGTGCAGGTGAGGAAATTAAAATAAAGTTGGCCTCAAATTTTTAGACAAATGAAGTGCAAAAGGTAAGTATGTAGCACAATAATGAAAAAGAGAACAGAATAGTGGTGTTTTTTCCTGAACCCAATTTGTATAAAGCTAGAGCACATGTAATGGCAAATAAATATAAAAAAAAAAAAAAAAAAACCCAAAAAAAAAAAAAAAACCCCCTTTTAAAAAATACAAAGGGGCGCGGGGGGGGGGCAGCCTTTGCAGTCACGCCTGTGCCAGTTCTGTGACTAACGCGGCTGAAAAACGTAAAAATCCTGTAACTGAAGAAAGAGCCACTGTTTAATATTTTCCACTAAAAGCCGCAAAGAAATCTGGTGTACTGGCTCTGCTGACTAACAATTTAGGCGGTAAACAATTCCAGCATTTAACTGCTTTCATATGGCGAGCAACAGTAAAGGCAAATAAAAAAAAAAAAAAAAAAAAAAAGACCCAAGAGAGAAAAGACATCGCCCATTTATCAGTTCAGAGGTGGGCTGCGTAATCTTAAACAGATTGATGTTAGAGCTTGGCTCAGAGATAAAATAATGCCTTTTAAAATAATGGTAATAATAATTTGTATTTCCGGTGTTCTTGCCTGCAGCAGCAGTGTTGGATAAATGTTAAGCACATAAATGTTGAGGATGTAGTGACACATCTGTGTGCTCCCGAAGTGAGTGCAATAGATCCAGAACTGAAAATACAATCTTTCTGAACTGTAAAGGTTTGGGGGCTGGTGTATTATTCCTGCTGTATAGTCCCAGCATGTCAAGAGAGTTTACCCTAATACTGCTCAATTCCTTAGTGCTGCCTGAGGTCTGACAGGCTGCTTGCTGTTGTGATGTTCTTGAATTTAATGTTTCAAGACCCAAGTTTTGTCTTCTTTGGTTGGCATATGAAAGAGGGTGTTGCTACTAAAGTTTATCCCCAAAGAAACAAACCCATGTAATAAGAGCTTTATTACCGTAAAGATTGCTTGAAAATTAAACAGTTTAAATTTAAGTCAACTTATCAAAAACCTGTCTAGAAAGGTAATTAGATGTATAATTAGGCTTAGGACTTCTGTTTAGCATGGAATTCCCCTTTTTGGCATCTAATGACTGTGGGTTTTGGTCTTTTTCCAGCATCTTTTTACCAATAAGGAACCATTTACAAATGTACGTGAAGCCATGAATATAGAATTAATTGTCCTGTCAATGCACTTCTTCCTCCTGTCTTGGCAGATACCTGCCATCCTTTTCTTGCCCTTGGCTGAGTAATAGCCAGCTCGTGGAGTTCAGCGTTTCTTCTTTTCCTCTTATAGCTTATGTCAGCAGAGTTGTTGGTGATGTCTCTTACCCCACTGACCAGCCTGGCTGTCCAGCAAGTCGTGTCAGGGTAGTAGAGCTGATGTCCGCTCCTCAGCGCGTTGGGAGGTCTGTAGAGTAGCATCCTGCGCGGAGGAAGCTGCAGAGAGTGACTGCTCTGCAGGCTGTGAGGAGTCTTAGATGGAGCAGGTTTAGGAGAAGGTTTTTATTAGAGTTGAATGCCTCAAGGCTGTGCAGGATGGGTGTTCCCTGCACGCGCCCTTAGGGATGGCCGGTGCGTTGTCTCTCCTGGGGGGTGGGAGCTGCTCAAGGCGACTGGCCTGGTGGGCTCAGTGCTCTTGGCTCGGTGGGACGGGTGTCACCACTGCATGGGCTGGGTGCTTCTTGGAGGAACCCTAAGCAAGTACTGCCTTGTCTTGACTTCAGCTAGCGTAGCAGCTTGGACGAGCTCATCGCAGAGGGCACGTAGGCTTTGCATGGGGTGTGCTTGGAAGCTTTTGCAGAGCAAGGTGGTGTGACCGCACAGGGTGCCATGCTCTGCTCCATCCCTAGCCCTGCCCGTGTCCTTTTTCAACTGAATGTGATGCTGTCAAGCTAAATGTTGCAGCCTCCTGAACGTTTTGTAGTTGCAAATGCTGTCTTGGATTAACTTTAATAATTTCTTTGAAGCTGATCCTGGCAGCAATGAATGGCTAAAACAAAAGCATTTTGCTCACATAATACAGGGCCCAAACCGGAGCATATTCGGTTAACGTATTTGACAGAAGAGCCCTTAAGGCTATGTGTTTGCTCTCAGAACATAAGACACCCACCAGCTTTTCAATGCGTGTATGTACATACTCATAGAACTTCAACAATAAGCCTTTAAAATGCAGCTGGAATTAAAATGTTCATGAAGAAATGCATTCAGTTCGCTCTCAGATGTGAATTGAATCTTGACTAAATTTAAGGAAAAGACCAGAAAGAACAAAATGGTTGAGATCATTTAGCTTTCATTCTTGCAGTATGTTGATGCATTTCTCTAATCTTACCTGCCAGTGTCAATATTCAGGTTTAAATCATGTAGTTCTTGTGTTTATCTGCCAGGCAAGTCTTTTGAATCCCAAAGTTGAAGAGAGTGAGCCTCCCAGGGCCTTAGGTTCTGCTGGCCTCAATTTTCTTTTCCTGTAAGTTACCAATTACAGTCTGAAGTGTTAGAAGTCCTTGAACTTTTATGTGCTTTATTGGGAGGAGGAAGAGGAAGCATGAATATATTCCTAAACCTTGTTTCCCAGACAGTATAGCCCTTGTTTTAAGAGCTTTTTACTATACACATGAGGTTTTCCTGGCTACGATTTTCAGTGATCAAGCTTGTTTCGTGATTTTTTCCAATCAGGGGAGATCATGATTGTGTTACAACTTCCAGATGCTTCATCAAGTTTGAATAAATCATGTCTAGTAAACTTTTTTGCTCACCTTCCAGAAATGTTTTATGTAGGGAGGGTAAAATATCTCAACTTGATTGCACTTTGAACGAGATTATGAACACAATAAGGAAATGTTTCTGCAAGAACCCTAATGAAGCCATGTGTTCTCCGCCTGCACTTGAGGGAGTGCAAACTGAATACCTTAAGTCTGTAAAGAGACATTGTTGTCCTGCGTTTACCAGTTATGGTCCCTGAGCTGTGATTTTATTTTTACAAAAGGTTGCTGTGCTTTGTTGCATCAGATCGTGGTAAGTATTTATGTGTGGTTATGCTTGATACTGGCAGTTTGAATCTCCACAGGTTTTTTATTATTTTTGAGCTACAGCATTTGACATCTCTGTCTTGTGCAGCATAACAGTATCTTCAAAGGCACAGGAGTCCCACACCTGCCTCTGCTTTCTCTTGACGTGCAGACGCTCAAATCCTGGAACATGCCTTGGAGCCAGATACTCCAATTATATCCAGACACACCCTGCTAATTAAGCAGTGTTGTGACCTTCCTAGTAATTTAGTGTGCAAGCTTTGATTTTCCCCCTTCCCTCCCAAACCCCATATTTGGATTTAAGTCTATGAGGTGTGGGGTAAGAGTGCATTAGCACTTTGTTTTCTGGAGAAGATGATACAACCCAAAGCTTAGATGTCTCATCAGACAAGAATTTGGGTGAAAGAACGATTTAAAACTCTGGTGAATAGCTTTTTATCTGTTTCTAGGGGTCCTGAAGACACCTGTTTCGAATACGGCGTTTTCCCTGCTATCCTGAGCTTCCCACTCGACTACCCGTTAAGTCCTCCCAAGATGAGGTTCACCTGCGAGATGTTCCATCCCAACAGTGAGTCCGACGCAGCAGGATGTCCCGGGGACTGGGTTGCTTGTGCACCTTAACAGCAAACTTTTGCAGCAGGAGAGCTGAAATCCTTACCAAGAGTTGTTCTCTCCCTTTCCAGCCCTACAGTATGCAGTAGAGGTGTTCAGCAGTCCAGCAATTTTGCTCTGTCTTAGGGACACTTTCTCTTTATCACATTATTCCCAATATACCTGTTGGTCATAAACGGTTCAGTAAAGTTTCCAACTATTTCACTGATCATTCCAGGAATGCTTTAGACTATTGCATAGTCTAAAGATAAATCTTTTGTACATGATGTGAGATTTAGGGAATTAATACAGCCAGTCTTGTTCTGTGACTTGTATTTAAGTGGTTTGGTGTTTGGTGTTGGTTCATATCACCGGTGTGAATGCAGCTTTACTCGGCAGCATGTGATGTTTCTAATGTGATCTTTCTGAAATACAGAGTGCTCTGTCTGAGCAGATGACACCTTGGCAGGTGTTTAATATTAAAACACTGCTGGCCTTTTCTCTGCAGTTCTGATTGTGACAATATTATCTTAAGACTTTTCAGTGGAAGCAATTGAAGTAAAAAGTACAGTTTAAGCCTTGGGCAGGTAGAAACCTTGAAGCTTCCTTTCACAGCCTGGAGCGCTACTTTCTGGAGCCAGCCTTGGCATTCTTTGTAAAATTGTTACTTAGGATGTGGATGGTGTAAAGATTGTTCATCATCACCCAGATTTGATGGGCTGAATCTGTATTCTAGGCTGTTAGGTCTCTGCCATTTGAGAGCAATAAAAGGAAAATGCTGCCCTCCTGCCTAGGGTTTCCTTCCCAGCTGAGATTCCTGCACTTGAATAACACAAATCTTAATCTCAGCTAGGAATCAATTTATTTCATGCTATTCCAAGGAATTTTGCATTTTCTGGAAGTTCTTCTGTTCTTCCCTTCTCAAAACACCACAGAATGCAGATTCTTGCCTATTGAATCCCCATCACGTCACAGCATTAGAAGTGTGCAGGTGTGCCCGAGACAGTGGAACATCACTTCTGAAGCTCTGATGTTTGCAGTGTTTGGCACCTGGAAGCATCGGCACCGTGCTCCAGCTGGACTAATTCACCCAAACTTCTTGGCAGGACTGGTCTCCATTAGCAAGTCCTTGTCCACACAATACTTCATGGCTTCAGCTGTGATTGAGGTTCGCAGCTCACAACTACTCTGTATGCAGTGTAGCCTGGAGGAGAGGGGTGCGGAGAAGGACAAACTGCTGGATTCTCATGTGTTATGGAGTGGCTCCACGCGTGGACGCTTCCTCTGTGAGGTTAACTGGAACATACTGAATGGTCAGCTCAGCTTCTTAAAGTCCTCTGGGTCACCTTCATCACCATCAAAGTTCAGATCACCTAAAGTGGACGCTTGAATCTTTCTTAGGTGGCATTGTGATGGTCTGGTTATACCCAGAAGGGCTGTAGAAATGGGTGGCTGTGCTGTACTTTTTCTGCTCCTTAAGTGCTTACTCCTCCACCTGGGAGGAATTGCAAGGAAAACGCTTAAAAAGTCTGCTGTGTTCCCTTCTCTCTGCAGTTTGTGTTATGTACAGGGGGAACTGGCACACCACAGAACTATCTTCTTATAAAATAAAATGACATTCATGGATGCGCTGACAAAGATAACTTCAAAGTGGCAATTAGTGGCACATCTTGCATTAGCACTTAGTGACAAAGTGGGAAGAGGCTTACGTCTTCCTGGAAGCAGCCTTTGCTGTCTTGCCTGTGCCACTGTCATCCAGCTGTTTTAAACAAGGCACACTGCATAAAAGCATCAGCGGAACTTCCAGGTGAAATACCTTCTACCAGTGTGTTCTGAACTTGAAAGGAGAAGTGTTGATTCAGCACGGACTGTTCTCATCTCTTCCAGCTCCAGTCCCCAGCCTGCAGCTGCAGCAGGGGATGTCAATAACAGTCTTCAAAGCGTTTACGTGTTGCAGAGTTGTATAGACATTCACTGGGTGAATGGAAGGAACTGGAAATGAGCACAACTGCTTCTAGCGGTCATTCCCTCTTTTTGTCTTGTGTTCCTGGCAATGGCACAGGTTTGGTCACCCAGGGAACAGCAGCACTGGAAGTACTGCGTTACAGTTGTCATTTCCTGGGAGCCTGCAGAATTAGGCCATGTTGCTAAAGCTGAACTCCATTATCTTAGTGTTGCCTCTTCAACCTCTCCTTGGCCTTGTTACCAAATTAGTGGAGTCCAGTGTCTGTGAAGATGACTTGAACTTTTGCAGGTGCTTTGTTTATGCTGAAAGCGGAAAGGAGGGACGTCTGTGTCCTTCACTGATAGGTTACCTTTTATCCATGCACTTTAATGCAGCTGAGCTTTAAGCAATGCCAAAAAAAATAGTAGTGTGAACTCTTCTGATTGCACCTCAGTAATGTTCAAAATAAGATCAATTATATTTTTTCCAACATATACCACTTTTCCCTCCGTACTGCAGCAGAGCAAGTTTGTTTAATTCTTTTTATGGTCACGGTCCAGTGGAGGACTCCAAGGTGCATTCAGTGCTGTGTGACTGTAACCCTTTGATTAAAGTTGGACTAGTTCCATCCTTGGAGCTGTGTCTGTGTGTAAATACTTGCCTTGTTCCACACGGCTGCATCTCTTATTTTCCCATGGAGCCTGTCACTTGCTATTTAATGATACAACTGCTCCCAGCAGGCTTCTTTTGGGGCAGGATGACCCAAGTTTGTTACATTTGCTTAAAGGAATTTTTTGCTAGATTTTTGTCTTTCAGATTTTGTGTCCTCTTGCCTTTGGAAGAGGAAATTTAAAGCTGGGTTTAATGTCAGTCATATGAAGGCCAAGTCCAAACATTAATCTGTGCTAAAGGACTGGAGAGACAAAGTGTTTCTGCTGAGTAACAATCGATTACCTCTTCTTCTTGTGCAGTTTACCCAGATGGAAGAGTTTGCATCTCTATTCTTCATGCTCCTGGGGATGATCCCATGGGATATGAGAGCAGCGCTGAGCGATGGAGTCCTGTGCAGAGTGTGGAAAAGATCCTCTTATCGGTCGTTAGCATGCTGGCAGGTAAGGCCTGCTGGTTTATTAGCAGTAGCTCAGATAGCAGTTACGATGTTCAGAAGAACTGCTTCTTGCTGTTTGATTTGTTAAGTGAACAAAGGATATTTGAAAGTGCTTGGCAGCAGCCAGAGTGCTTAAAGCCCTAATCCTTATTTTTTAATAAAACATTTCTCTGAAAATACTTGGTGGGGGGAGGACTGAATTAGTAAATAGGTGTTACCAGCTTTGTGAGCAACTGCGCTGCTTTCCTCCCAGGTCAGCAGCAGCCAAGCAGATAGTGATGGTCAGGTGGGTCCTGGAGCAAAGCTCGTTCCCTGCTCCTGCACAAAACCTGTGTGTGCTCCATCTTTGTGTTTGCACTGATGTCTGTTCAGCTCTTGCAGGTCTTAGAGGTATTGATTACAGCCTGTGTTGGATTTGGCTTTAGCAGCTGAGGCGTTGCTGGCCAGATCTAACCAGTATAGTAAACTGGACTCCATGGTCTCTAAGTCACAAGCCAGGACCCTCCATTTCTGTTATTTGTCAGCCTGGGAATGTACCCTGTTCCGCCATCTCTGATCCAGAGGAAGGCTTCTGGAGAAGAGGGGTGGGGTGAAAAACTCTTGTAAATGGCTTTGCATAAATCCAACAGGTACTATGGATCTGTTGTGTCCAACTCTCTGAAAGATGGACCCTTTTCCACGTGGTAGATGGAGCCCCTGAACTGCCTGGAAAAGGGCAAAGCTGTGTCCCTTAGAATTGGTTTTGAATGATAAAAGATTTTAGAAGGTTTAGAGCAGCAAGATTGATCAAGAGCAAGGAACAGATTCTTTTGTGTGGCCGTTTTAGCTTCAGAATAGTAACCTACTGTTGGGAAGCTGTACAGACCTGGCTGGGCTTCCCGTGGCCTCCCACAGCTTGGGTTGTGGTGCAGCCTGGCCCTGGCTGGGTAGCACAGGAGTCGCCTATCTCTCTTGTCCTCTGCCTGTGTGCCCTGTGTTCCCATGGCTTTTGGAGGAATTAGTCTAAAACATCACTGGTCAGCTTCTCTCAGGCTCTGCAGGTAGTGTAAGCCCAAGCTTACCAGACTGGGCGACCTGCACATCTCCTGTCCCCACTGCTGGCTTTTAGGGGCTGACCATCTTGTGTCAAGAAAGACATGAGCCCAAGATGTTTGTCATGAGCAGGGCTGGGCTGGATTTGGACTAGTGTGTGAAGCAAAATGGGTGGAGTATGTTCTGCCTTAGTGGCTTGTGTAATCTGTTGTCCTTCTGTATGCTGACCATGAACCTGATAAATTCCATGCCTCAGCTTACCTCTGTACAGAATTAAGTGTTTTGGGTCACAGGGGCTTAATGTACTTTGTAAAGCGCTCTGAAATCCTCGGATGAAAGATGTTGCGGAAATGAAAGCATTCTATGGGTTTTCTTGGTTTGTTTTGTTGGTTTTTAATAGAACAAGCTATCCTAAAGAGTGACAGAGCCTGTTTGGGTGGCCTGGTCGGGAGGGCTTTGTGTCTGTGAAGCCACAGAACCAGAAAAAAACATTTTGCAGGGAGCAGTGTGCAGTTTTAAAGACCCTTGACAGCGCTGGTGGTGCCACATTGTGGTGTTTCATGTGCGTACCGGGGTTCAACTGTTAAGAGCATAAGCAAAAGAAAGTCTTGGTCCTCTGACGCTTGTTTCTTACCTAAACTTGACGTTGCTGTGAATATTCTCTTGTGATCAGCTAAGTCAGAACCATCTGTGAATCCAGCAGCTGTCACTGGATTTCCTTTAGTGGTGTTTCTGTAGTCCTGAGCAGGGAAAGTGGACCAAAGCCACAGGGAAGTGGCAGTAGAGAGGTGTTATTGAAAAATTGAGAGGGTCTTGCTTCATTACCTGCCTGCCCACCTGTCTTTCCGTCTTTCTCATTTCAGAGCCAAATGATGAAAGTGGAGCCAATGTAGACGCCTCCAAGATGTGGCGGGAAGACAGAGAACAATTTAACAAAATTGCCAAGCAGATTGTGCAGAAGTCACTTGGACTTTAAGCTCACAAAGAGACTGAAGTGTTTTGTATTTCTCTCCACCTGAAAACGAGCAGTGCTCAGTGCTGGTACCAAAAAGGAAAACTTTGCAAAACTATTGGCCTAGTTCTTTTTATCATTTGTTATTTATTTACCATGTATTTTCTTCTTCCACTGCTCCAGAGAAGCCTCTAGTTCACTCACTAAACTGCGTGGAAAAGGGATGTCATAGTAGGAAAAAACATGGAGACAATGCCGTTTCAAAGGCTGCCTGTTGCTACCTCACTTTGTGGTATGGAAAGCTGGGAGACCTTGCAGTCTGCCTTTGCCAGTCTGCTGTTTGAGAACAGAGCTGGTTTGGGTCACCTGCTGGAAGAATTAGTTGTATGTATTTATAGGCAGTATTGCATCTGGAGCACCAGTAGACAGGAAATAATCTCTCAATTTTGTGGTACTTGCTAAGGCAAGGACAGCATTTGCAGTCAGAACTGATTTGAAGGGTATTGCAGCAGGAGAGGCTACAAAACAAGGTTCTAGATAGAATGCGTTGGCAAAGAAAGTAGTTGTGCAGCATGTAACTTTAGGAGAAGATCTTGGGGGTTGTCAGTGACGGGCTGGGTGTCTAAAATGGGCTGGTGTTCCCATCTAGCACTGTGAGTTTGTATTGAGCCTTTGAGTCAGTGTTTGCTTGGAAAAAATCCCAAGAGCTGCTTTGTTATTCCTTAAAGACACTCACTTGTAAACCTCACATTCAATTAGAGGTGGAAGTTGTAAAGGCTGGATTCTTAAACCTTTGGTCAGGTTCACCACGGGCGAGGTAGGTCATTGGCAGCTTGAAAATCCAGTGAGAATGTGCCTGCTCTGCTGGGCATGTGAAATATCTCTGCAATAATGCCAGCTTCTCTCGGGCATTGAGAGGATTAGGCACTGCTGGCCTTTGGTCACCCCTTCTTCAGGTGAACGAGCGAAGATGAACGCAATGAACTTTGTAAAATTAACTGCAATGTTTCTTTATGCTGAGTGCTCTTTTGTATTTAAATAGGAGTCAGAGAAGGCACCGAATGTGTTTTCTAGAGGATGACAGAGCGCATGTTTAGAACTGCAGAGTATTGTAGCCCAGCGGTGGTGCGGAGGGTGTGGGGAATGCCAGCTGCAGCCATCCCATAGTAACCCTGCTTTAGGGGCCGCTGGTGACCTTTGTGCTTTGCAAGAGAATCTCTTGGGTAGGTCCAAATCTTCTCCAATTTACTACAAGCAATAACATGCCCACTGGTAGCACATGGAGTCACATTTTGTTGGCAGCTTTAAAGGGACTAAATTTGAGAAGGGCTTTTTTTTTTTTTCCTTTCCTGTGACAAGTGTGTGACACGGAAGGAGTCGCACCCTGGAGAAGGCTTCACAGAGGTGACAGTGTGCATGTGCCTGTGTACCACTCCTCAGTATTCATGTCTTGCTGTCCGTGCTGCACATGGCAGTGTGCCATCGCTCTGCACCTCGGAAGAGTTTGTATTGCTAGAACTTGCTGATTTTACCTCCTTGTAGAAGTGATCCTTCTTGCTTTGGTGTAAGGGTGGGAGGGGGACCTGACAGTTTGGGCGCAGAGATGATGAAATAGTGTTGTTGTACCTAACTAGTATTTCAAGGCATACAGGAAAATGTAGCGTTTATATGCAAACTGAGAGCGCTTTTTGAATTGTAGTAGATGGAGCGTTGCTCTTGGGAGTGCTGCAGCCACTCCAGGAAACGATGCTGGGGAGCTGTGTGCCACCTGCAATCCATGGATTCGGCAGACATGGCAAAAATGGGCGCTTTTTAAGTGCGGACTGTTTTGTTCATGTGTGCTTATTCATTATTTTATGGTGGGATTTAGTCTGTATACTGAAAATAAAGTTGATTATATTTTCTCCTTTCATAGACGTATGCAGATGTGTTGCAGTGGATGTTTTTTATGGGTACCCAGCTGGTTAAGAGAGTCCAATTCTGACTCAGTCCACAGAAGTGGAGTGGTTTATTCTGATGCAGTTAAAACAAGGGGTGCTTTAGAGGAGTGGAAGAGTTGACGCAGTTGCTTGGGCTTTCCAGGCAAGTATCTTTTCTCTAATGATGACAATAACTTTATAATTCAAAGAAAACTATGAAAATCTGGCAGATGTGATGCAGTTTGCTTCTCATGGAGGTCTCGTTATGATCCACATATCTGGCCTAGGAAGATCTTGTTATGGCAACAAGGTGAATTTTAATATTTTAAATGAGCTTTAATATATCATTCAAAATCTGCTGATGTTAGCTCTTGGATTTGAGAAGAACAATTAGATGTCCAATTCCTACTGAGAATTTCCATAGTCCCCAAATCTCTGTTGCTTAGAAATAAAAGAATGTCTTTTTAAGTGACTGACATGCAGTGGGCTTTCTAGCTTGGGTGTTTTAAGCCACCCAGTGAACATATATACTGGGCAGTCTTGCAGGTGACAAAATGTAAGCAGAAGGCCACCTCAGAGGACTGGAACTTGGTGTGAGAAGAACCATCCTGAGGGTGGCTGTTTGCTTACCCCTATCTGTGCCCCTGAAACTGGTGGTGAGCCCTCCTCTTCATGGAAAGGCTTAAACCTGGCCCCTCAGGCCCCCTGACCCTGCTTGTCCTACAGGGAAAGGAAGGAAGGAAACCTCTTCATCGTTGTTCTGTAACAAACGGAATCCTTGTGCGTGGCACGAGGGCTCCTCTTGCCTCACCTCTCAGGGCAGGGAGGGCTCCTGCCATGCCCAGCTTGCCCCGAGAGGGTTTCAGCGCGCAGGCAGCTTTGTGCAGCTGGGGATCACCCGGGAGTTAAAGCTCATAAAGCTGCTGTGTCGATCCTGTGATAGACTTCCCTGAAAGGCTTAATCCTCTCCCTTCATGAAAGAGTACTCGTGTTGGCAGTGTGTGTAATACTAGCCAGTAGCGATGGTTTTTTGAGCAGTTGTGTTTTTTCAGCCTGAAATAGTTACTATAAAACATGTTCCTTGGGGAGTGTCAGAGCTCTACAGGTGTTATGCATGCAGGTAAAGTATTAAAGGTTTAAAAAAAGAAAACCAACGTATCTCTGGATTATATTTGCTTCAGGCTTAAAGAATCAAACAACAAAACCCCAAACCCTTCAACAAAGCTGTAAAAATGCAAGCAACGTCCTCTTTAAAGCCTTTGTATATACATACTTAGACACATGCACACTTTTTTTTCTTTTTTTTCTTCTTGGCAAGCAGGGCTGTGTCAGAACACACACAGTGGGATGCAAGCCATTCATTAATTGTGTTTTGTGTGCCTGTGTGCATGCAAGCCGTTCTTTGAAAGTGCGAGCTGCCGGGCGGGAGGCGTTGGAGCCACATGAAACGGCTGCAGCTTCGGGGCAGAGCCAGCCCCAGGCTTTTTTCCAACTTTTATTTTTTTTTTGGCTGGAGCGGTATCATGGCTGGAAGATGGTGTGCTGCCTTTGGGATGGAGCGGTGAAAGCTCTGCGTCTCTGGAAGGTCCTTGCTTTCCTCCTGAAATGGCCTCTTGGTGAGGATGCTGGGTGTTCCCCCTGCTCTGAGAATCGAAAGAAGAAACACCCCCTTGGTCAGCACAGACCCCAAATGTCTGTCCCCGGTGCCAGCCATGCTGCCCGTACTGGGGGTGTCTGGGATGTGGGATGGGCGCAGCTGGTGGGAGGTAGCTCCAGAAAGGGACTCGAAGCAGTGGCCTCCCCTGCCCCATGGCGTGGGGCGAGGGCTGTGCGTGCTGGCTGAGCAGCAGCAGGGCACGGAGGTAGGAGCGTGGGATGTCCCCATGCTGCCCAGGTGGCACTGGTCACCTGCCCCATGTTGCTTCTCTCCCACATTTCCTTGACTCACTGGAAGGAGAAAAATCTCTCTACCCTTCAGCGAGCTCCGGGGCTGGGAGGAGTTTGAGGTGAGGGATGCTGAGGGTCTTGCTTGCCAGCTGGTGGGACGGCTGGGGGTGGCAGAGGGAAGGGACAGGTGCAAAAATCTGGAGAATTCCTCTGGCACTGGAGGGTCCCGTTGGGCTGAGCTGCTCTCCCCATGTGCTGCCTGAACAGCAAGGTGGCTGAGCCCCTGCTCCAGCCCCAGTGAGGGCTCCCGGTGTCACCTCTGGTGCAGCCAGGTCCCACATGCACCACTGGTGTCACCCCAGGCAGCTACGGCTGTGCCAGGTGTCCCTGGTGCTGCGGGGATGAGACCCGGTGCTGCAGAGGGAATGGCTCAAGCCACTTAACACTTGGTGGTCCTGCGTGATGTGCTCGGTGCGCTCCTGGTCCCGCGGGATCTCGGGGTGGCTGGGAGACCAGTGCCTTGCCCTGACTCCAGCCCTGGTAATCTTCGCAGCCGATCCTCATCCTGCCTTGGCCACCAGCCCCTCTCCCGAGACAGCCAGGGGAGAACCAGCCAGGTGGCTTTTTAAAGCAGCTCGCACCCCCCCCAAGATGTGACTTAGAAGCAGTTAAGATTATGGGGTATGTAAATATATAATTAATGGTAATGATACGGAGGGTGGGTTATTACAGGGCAGCTGCCGGCGTGAGCAGCGTGTGCGGGAGCTCTGGGGGAGCGATTTGGGAGCGGGTCTGTCTAGTCATGTCCTTCTTGGGGGCGTGGGGGGAGACGAGCCAAGTCGTGGGCTGAGTCCTCTTCCTCCCTGCGTGGGGCACCGGCTCTTTGGGGGCACCTCGACGCCTTTCAGAGCGGGGTGCAGGCAGGGGCAGGCGTGGTGTGGCTGGCAGGATGGCGGGGCGCAGAGGCTGTGGCCCTGTGCTGCTGTCCCCCTGGCCGTGGGGGGTGACAGCGGGGGTGGCCGTCAGGGTGGGAGCCCTGGGCCAGGCGAGTGCGCCCCTCGGGGGGCAGCGGGGTGATGCGGGAGGGGGGCTCACGCCAGCGGAGATGCAGGATGCAACACGCCGGGGGACCCACGCGCTGGGGTGCTGGGCCTGGCGGGAGGCGGCGCGCCGCCCACGGCGGGGGGGGGGGGGTGGGGGTTGGGCCCCCGACACG